AAAGTCACTTTAAGAAATAGAGAGACATTGTGAGACAAAAAAGCTAGAAACATATGGAAGAACTCAGGTGAAATTATGGCTACAGCAACAAGAAATAAGAACGATCATTTAAAGAAAAACCTTAATGGTCACTGTAGGAAAGGCCTTGGCTGGTGTTTAGTGAAAGGGGTTACCTTCATGCTCTGCTTTCAGAGTTGGTAGCTGTGTAGTGAGAAACAGTTGCTTTAGCTCATGTCAGAAGCAAAGGAGTGTTCAGGCAGTGAATTTACCTTTTTAACCCTCAGCTAGAGGAAATTTGCAGACTTCTAGTGAATGTAAAATCATGGCAACTCACTCTGCCTGAGGACCTGAGACAGCAAGTGCCTCACCTCGCAGGATTGAATGTTGATAGGAAAGCATCACTGGAGTGTGTTTACAATGATCTGTTTTAAACTCAAATTTAAATAGTCACATCAATGGCCTCTTCTTAAATGCTACACTGAACTTCCCCAATGTTAATATACAGGCTACAACATAAGCCAATTTTTATGGTGTATTTCAAGATCCTGAGCCAAGCAACTATTTGTCTTATGGCTGTGCTTTCTTCTTCTAGTGAATGTTACAGAATTCTTGACCTTGCTGTTAAGGTCACTGATGTACCACAGGGGACTGCAGGGACAGAGTCAGAGACTCTCTTCAACTCCTCCTGATCTCATGGGCCATAGCTGAGTAGATTCTTCAGCAAAACAGATGGAAAGTAAGAGATATAAGGATCAATAATTTCTTTTCTCTGCACACAAAGAAACACATGTCAAATCTATGAATAATCCAAAGTCAGGGAAGTGACCTGCACTAATAACACTACAAATTGTTCATGTGCACTGGATGTGCACAGCCAGGAAGATCCCCCAAATCCTTCAGCCACCCTGAACTTTAAAATCTTTAGTCTGTATTTTGAAACCAAACGATGCCCTGATTTTCTCTTCTGGTGAAGTCCTAAAACTATTCTGTTTTGAAGTTTTGGGGACTCTAAGCTGAGAAAGAGACAATGACTTTATGATTTGATTCCCAGGAACTGAAAACTAATGGTACATTATTATCTCCTCAACCCCAATTTTTGAAAAATTTTCACAAAGCTAGTTTTAAATATCCCAGAAAATTGAACTTGCTCCCTTTTCTACAGTAAATAATATCCTTCCAAATTTGGTACTTTTAGCACTGCTATTTGATGTTATTTGATTTCTTTAGAACCTCTCTTTGCTTTTGGTGTTTTGTGGTGCCTTGACTAAATGCTTTTTGATTGTTGTACCTGTTTGTCCACAATAAGATAAGATAATATATTGTTAACACATCAGTGATTATATGCAAGGTGTTAGAGCTATTTCCTTCATAACATACCAGCAGAACAGGAAGAATTATACTAGTCACAAATTTCATTTAGCATTTTCATTGTGGTCTCACGCTAATAAGCCTTATTGATGCCACCAAAATGTGCATTGTTGGTACAGAGCGTACAAATATTATCTGAAAATAGTCAGATATCATTGAAGACTATAGTATAGGACATAGGATGAAATTTTAAAGTGAAGAACTATTTTGAACTCCTTATCAAGAGCTTCTTTGTTAAGATAAGAGCTTATTGATGGGAAATGTCAGGGAGGAAAAAATCTGGGCATATTAGTGGGTCACTGAATAACTTACATTTTACTGAAATTGAATAAAAGCAGAAGATAATGGGGAGGGAGAGTGAGGCACCAGCCTTAAGACTGGTTTTGTCAAACATAGTTTGCTTAAGCCTTGAAAAGGTGGGAGAGGTTCTGTGATTATCTTCTGTGAATACATTGCAATAACCAAAGTTCCTGCTGAGCAGGCGAGACTGCTTTGGGGTAACTTGGCAATGTGAACTAGCAGTGCTTGGTTGCTGCAGGTTTGAAAAGCTATCTCCTCAAGGTCATGAGCTGTGGGAGAAACTTTCTACATCACAGCTCTCATGTCACAAGGTTGCAACTGTTCCCCATGTGGCACAGCTTCCCAGCAGTCCTGGTGAGCCTACCCTGCCTTCCTGCTTTCTGTGTTCCAAGAGAGCTCTGCCTTGTGGACTACTTGCTGCTGTAACTCTGGGCCCCTCACATATCTCTGGCAGTGCCCCCACTCCTGCACTCTAGACCCTTTTCCTTTCCCAGTCAAAATGTACACCCCTCTTCTCCCCAGAGACTCACAGTCCTTGCTGGAAGAGCTGTAAGGATCCAACTGCTTCATTTTACTTTGGAAATAAAATTTGGTTGTATCTTAGGTCATTACTTTGAGCCTTATAATTGCCCACAGCTGTAAATGACTTTATCCAGTGGTTCTAATTTGGAGCCATGGAGCAAGTAGCATTGTAAAAATCTGAACTAGCTTATTTTCTGAGGTGGAAGAAAAGGACCCTTGAACTCTGATCATCTGCAGTGAATTTCTCCTACATTTGCTTGGGCTAGCGAGAGAAAAATTTATTTTACTTTTTTATATATTTTTCTCTTTTGTAATATGGTGAATAGATTTGAACACTCGGGAAATGCGTATCGATGGCTCCATGTAAATGGAACTAAGAAGGCTCAGGATGTGGGTATCCCTTCTCCACACGCTCATTAACCTATACATTCCTTCACATCCCACTGAGTCTATGCTGAAGAGCAGCAAAAGCAGTTTTGTGCACCGCTGCCGGGGGAAGTTGGATCAGGTACAAACCCAGATTATTCCCTGAGAGTGGTGTGGCACTGGATCACATGGCCAGGGGGACTGTAGGATCTCCATCCCTGAGACTATCCAAACTCAACAGGAAAAGGACCTGAATGACTTTGTGTAGCCTTGAAGATAGCCCTGCTGCTAGCAGTGCGTAAGACCAAACACCTCCAGATGTGCAGTCTTGCCTAAAGTGCTCTAGGGTCCATCAAAGGTGCCAAATAGCAGGACAGCTTCATATTGTACCCTCAGAGTACTGAAACTGTAGACAACAAAACACTATATGGAACAACTGTCTTCCAAAGAAACTGCATTGTTTTGGCACTATGCTTCCCCATCCTCAGGATTCCTTGGACTCAGACCAGACCTTCACAGTTGTTTTGAGATATATGACTAAGTATCAGTTGACTGTGTGATCAAGAGATCCCCTTATAGCGGAAAAAAAGTGCTTATTTCACATGCTCTTTCCATGACAGTCTGATTCTGTTGCTCTGGTCTTGCTGGATGCCACACAATGGCCTTTTGCAGCTGAGTTTAGAATCCAACTCAATTTGCAAAACCAAGAACTCCTAACATTACATTTTTTTCTGCTAGGGCACATATTAGCTTCTCTCTGTCTCTTTTCCTCTCCAGTTCCTTCCTGGAGAGAAGCCGGTGATGTGGGACAATGTGGGAAGTGTGAAGGACCAGGGTGTGTAAAAGTACGGCAGAGATCAAGCCCTGAGGTTACAGAAATGTTCCTGCTGTGTGGGACACCCTTACAGTGTGAAACTTCAGAGTCTCACACCTCACATGCAGTTCATCCCTCACCACATCATCCTTCTTGCTGCTCATTCTCCCCTGTGTGAGTCCATTACCCTCTGGTGAAAGTAAATCGCAGTGACACTGACAGAGTGGCAGGTGACTTGCTGTGAGCAAGAGAAGCGTTGGACCTCACAATCAGCTGAAGCACTTGCAGGAAACCAGGAGATCCAAAAGTAGGCCAAGATAAATGATCTATAATTAAAAAGCAGAAAGTAAAAAATGTTGCTCAGGTGTATGTAGACTGATTGTGTATAAAATCAAAGAAGTGCTTGAATTTACTTTTAACCAGGTAGAGACATAAAGGCTAAAGTCACAGGATTTGTCTTAGACAACATATGAGATAAACAATGGGGAAGCAGCATGAACTAGACTGATGAAGAGGGATTTGGGGATCTCTTGGATAACAAGAAACTGCAAGGCCAACACTAGTTGGGTTACTACTAATACCTTACACAAGATTGCTTAGGAAATGGTTTCAAAACCAACAAATTTTAAAAGACAGAACAGGTGTGTTTCCAGTGTCATAACTCCTTTAAATGCCATTTCTCTCCTTTATTTCCCCCAAACAACATTGTATGGTCCTCATCTGTGGTCTAGAAAGAAAAGGCAAAAGGAAACAAAATTTAAAAGAGAAAAAAAAAAGGACTAAAGGGGGAAACAGCAGGAGTACAAAGAAGCATAAAGAAGTGGAGAAATAAATGTTGTAAAGGAACATGAAAGAATCTGAGGTGGGATAAAACAGGAAAAAAGAAAGAGTAGGGAGATAATTCTCTGCTTTGTTTAAAAAAAAAGAAAATACACCCCTGGAGGAAATTTTTATAGAAAAGTCCTTTTAAAAAGATAGTGGCTGTCATGAAAAGCACATACATTTCAATTTTGGCTTAGCAAGGATGATCATTTATTAGAGAAAGTCTGGTGTATTCCTATAAGGAAGAACCGGCTGTCAGAACTAGACATATTCTGAGAATACACACACCCTATGGTGTATGTATTCTCAGAAGTGAAGGTCACTGTGGCTCCTTCCCTCAGACCTGAGTTCCTTTCCAAAGGAAAAATTAGTGTGCCAAGGAGTCATTAGCATCCAGATCTTGTTTTGACAGGCAGTTGGGATGTGACCAGGATGTCCACCTGAAAAAAGGGACTGCAGGTGTCATATGTTAATCTGATAAACTTTTTGTCCTTTCCACTCAACCTCCTGGTTCATATGCAGGATTGTCCTTCTGAAGCTTTCTGAAAGTGCTGTACCTGACTGTAGTATCTTCACCTCTGCCTCTCGCTATGACATCTGCTTACCTCCTGAATTAAGACAGGCTTGAGAGGTAAAGACTGATTCTCATATGTTGAAGAAAGGTACCTCTTTCAGACAAATCTGTATCAAAGAGAGGATCAGGAACCTCCCTTCAGCTATTCAGGCAAACCCAATATCATCTCCTCAAATCCCTCTTTTGTCATGACATGTCAAGAAAAACTTTGTATTACAGATTTAGGCATGGAGACTGTGTCTAGCAAGTTACATTTTCTTGAAAACCAATCTCCTGGTGTGAGTTTTGCTCTGTCCCCTACCACCTTCCAGGAGCCAGAACTGCAGCTGCCTCTAAAAGCACTTACGAAACACTGGCCACTCTGTGTGTCTCATCTGCCCCTTTTTCTGCCTCAAAACTGTGCTGTTATGATTTCCATAACTGATTTGAGGAAATAAAAAAGAGAAATCATACAAAGCAGAAGTCCATTGCAATATTCTTATTTGCTGTGATGTTGGACAAGACTAAAAAATTTCTGCATCGTGAAAGTATCACAGCAACTTTAGAAAGTAGGAGCCCAAGACCTTGCAACAGCCAAGCCTTTGGTCCAGTGGCTAAACCAGAAACCTGGCAAATACACTACTTAAGGTAGAAGTTACAAATATTTGTACTCAGGTTTTTGATGGGGAAAAAAAATCACCACAAGCAGATTTTTCAGGGTTTATTTTCAGTCTCAAAATGGAAACTACCAGCTCTTCAAAGAGCATGGATATCACTGACGAAAGGAGAGGAACATACTGACAGGTTTGGAAAACTTGAGGGAAGCAGAGCACTTGCTCAAGACTTCTGTGTATCTTATTTGCATTGATGCTTCTGATAGGGGTCTTCTACCCTTTTTTTGTATTAGAAATCCTTCCATGGGGGACTCTGGCTTTTATACTTCTTATTACATTCGATTTCTTTCTGTCCCCTTTGTTGCCATGCCACACATCTCAGCAGAATCTCCAAAATCCATCTCCTTTCTGTTGCAACCTGGAGAAACAATGGTTGGCACTGAGTATGACACATCGCATGTGATTCTCCACGGGCTCTGCAGGTGAACACTGGGTCAGGCTCCTGGCCAGTCCAGCACACTGGCAGTAATATTCTCATATACAGGTGCCAAACACACTAGAAAATTAAAAACCTCCATGCAGGGAGGCTGGGTTGTCGGAATCTGGGACATGTCACTCAAATGACATCCTCATGCAAAGAGCAGAATTAACATTTATTAATATGGGTTTTTTCCTAATGTGTCAACACAGAATATGATGAAGGAAGAAGGAAACGTTAAAGATAAGCCACAAATAATTTTTCCCTTTCGAGGAGGGACAAGAACACCCCACTGAATCCTCCTCTTTCAAATTCTGCTCCAGTGATTTGAAGAACCGGTATCCTTTCATGAAACAGAGATGGCCTTTTCCACATTGAGATGCTGACTGGACAAAGAAAGTAGTGAAGAGTCAGGACCCTCATCTGTGAAGGAGAAGAGTGAAAAGGGGCACAGTAAGTCCTTGATATCAGCCTGAGCTATTTCATCCAGGACTGATCTCCAGATTGGAAAGAGGTGCAGATGCACAGGCTGGGAACTGAGGTCTTTCAGATCTAGGACTTTATGGCAGGCTTGCTCATTCTACACTGCAAGATAAAGTATTTGTATTATCTCAGGCCAGGTTTTCATCAGCTTTCATGAGCTGGCCTTTCTCAAGGATACTTCCTTGGATCCTTCATCCAAAGTGGAATTTCCTTCTTCAGACAAATTTGACTGCCAGTTCACAAATACGATAGCAACTTGTGAAGCAAAGAACGTTATTCCAGTTACTGTACGTGTTGGAGTCTCTGTTTCCCTTGATGTGAATTGCAGCACATCTTTCTGCAAAGAGTAAATTGGGTTCTCCAGGTTTCCAGAACCTGAAAAAGAAAGTTCCTCTGTTGTAAATACACTAGCATGCCTGATAGTGGAGGTGAAGTCACCTCAAACAGTTGTGGAAGAGAAAGGGAAGGTTACTGTGATAGGAATCAGGATCCATAATTTTGACTAGAAAACCAGTCAAGTTTTCTGACTTACAGGGCAATTGAAGACAGAAATCCCCTTCTGATACATACCTGCCTTAGACAATGTATTGGTCACTTGGACTGAGGAGGAGTGAATTACAGGACCTTCCCCGCTCCACCAGGATACTCACGTGGCTGTCTTCTCATATGGAGTCTGATCCACCCACTGCCATTGCCCATTTCGGTAAGAAGTTAAGCCTATGTAGTATTTTGTTTCATAGGCGTTAGTAACTTTTTCTTTTGCCAAATTGAAGAGGAACTCCTGGAAGAAAGTTCATTGTCCGTGAGGTGCAGGACTGAGCAGAGGGAGTAATTAGGAGTCCCTGTGGGGTGAGGCTGGTGGCAGAGGAGATCCGGTGCTGCAAGGGTGCAGACAGAACAATGTCCCCTCCTAGCAGGACAAGGAGGGGCTCTGATTCTCCTTCAGGGCCCAGCACTGTGTCTATGGCTGCTCTACCCCTCTCTCGGTGCACGTACCTGCTCTTCCCTGCTGTTGATCACCACCAGGTGGGAGCCCATCCTGGTGCAGTTCTGCTCACTCTCAGCCCAGGACATCGTATCAAGGGAGAGAAAATAGCAGCTGTTTTGAAACCTTTTCCAGCCCTTTGGGCAGCACATCCAACCTTCCACTGTGGGGAAAAAAATGCTGCTTTTGAACAAGGTGTGCTGTCCTTCATCTCTGTGAGTTCACTGTAAATTCCCAAGTGATGGAGGGAGGTGGTTTGAACCAGCTTTAGTCTGGACAGAGGTAAATACTCTCTTCAGCATTCCAATAAGTAAAGCTGTCAACATCCTGACAGGCTCCTGTCATAAGCCCCCTGCCTGAAGAGCCTTTCCCTTTCTCTAGCTGTTCTGCCACATCCATGCAACCTCTGTTTGGTGAAAGACACGGTTTCTGCCTTACCCTTCCTGAGGAAGCAAGATGGGAAGTAGTCGGCTTACACTCCTATGGAAACCCTTCCATCAGAAAAGTACTGCCCGAGTTCTCAATTCATTCAGACTGACAGGCATGTGCAGTAAACTGCTCTGAGAGCCTTGCTGCCACCACAGTTCCTTAAACAGTCGGGTTATCCTAGAGATCTGGCTTATAGACAGAAAGTCACATGATGGATTAAAAAGCCTGAGGCTACATGAGAACAGATTTCTGACCTGAGTTTGGGAACTTCCACTGGAGGCATTCTAGCTGTTGATATTGCCATCACTTCATGTGTGGTTACAGCCCAGCTCTCCAGCTACTCTGAACGCTTGGCAATATCCTCCAATCTCTGTCCTGCTCACTGACTATGATGTCTGTATCAAAAGGCAGGGAGCCAGAGAGGATGGAGCTGAACCAACCTGGACAAAAGGATGAAGCAGTTTCAGCTAGATTAGTGAACCAGACTAACTAACAGTTGAGGGCATATATGAGCAGAAGAGTAGAAAGGCTGGTCAAATGCAGGTATGGAACAACCCACCCTCTTCCACTGGTTTCTTCCACTGGCCCAGAACAGGTTTTCATGGCATCCTAAGTAAAATTGTGCAATACGGCATCTTCTTCCCTCAAATCCACATCTTCCTTCCTTCAAACAATCCAGTCCTAACTGACAGTGACATTCCCAACCTCAAAGACTGAGTGACACCAGAGTAAATGTTGGTGACGTTCTTTGTGCTGCTTACGAGGGTCTCAACATCACTCACTTTTGTCTGCAGAAATGTTGGGAACACAGTGCCACTCTGTAGAGTTCTGGAGCAGAATCTTGTACTGGCCATAGCCTCCATGAAGTAAAACAACTGGGAAGAGAGGAACGAGAAGGAAAGCACTACTGTCACCCTTTCCTCCTCATTCATAGGCAACCTGTCCCATCCTCCACCTTCCGGCTTAGAGCCCCCACAGAGACTCTGCTATGTGACCAAGCTCTGAAATCTGTATTGAACAAAGAGGTGAGAAACAGCGGGCCATTTCTCCCACTACCAGTCACCCCTCCCTCAGATGAGCTTGTCTCACCTGTGCTGGCTGAGAGACTCATTTTCCCAGCTGACAAAAAAACCAGCTTGGACATTCTTCTGGGATGGAGTCAGGAAAGGGACAAAGAAATCATGGGATTGGCTTAATAAAGGTGGAAAGGGCTGTTTTGGTAAATGGCATTTGTCTGTTGGCAGAGAGACTAGGATATTGTTTTCCATTTGACAAATGCCAAGAAATGATCCCTTCATCCCAGGGGAATTAAGAGACCCTGGAACCCACCAAGGCAGATGGTCACAAAGGCAGTTTTGATGACAAGGACTGAAATAAGGAAGACCCAGGGGTTCAGCCAGGAGCAGCTTCTCTCTTCTGCTGGGGCTGAAAAACACAAAGCAAGAGTGGGAATCCCCCAGACCAGAGGCAGGGGCAGCATAACCCAGGTGGCTCTGTACCCCAGCAGCCTGCTGGTACCCTTGTTCCAAGGACTGGGGAGCCTCACAGGTGCTGTAAGCAGGTCCTGCTGCCTGTCAATAGCCATGAGTCAGACCCACAGAGCAGAGTAACACAGGGGCTGCCTTGAAGCTGCTGTTTTGTTTTGCTGGTTGTCACAAGACCTGCCTCTACTCTGTCCAAACTTCATGCCTCCTTTATGCTGTCCGACATCCTTTCTCCTCAAACTCATTTTTCTTTTTACCCCCATTACCCCAGTCTTTCACTAAATGCTCTTTCTGTACCTCTCTCCTCTTCATCTCACTTTCCAGCTTCTTTCTCTCAGCTACCTTTATTTTGGCTCTATGTCATAAACCCCTTTATGCAACAGTTTATATTCAACCAAAGGAACAACTCTCCAGCTCATTTTTTTGCACAGCCAGACACATGGAAATGATTGTTTCTAAAGGGAAAACATTTCACATAGAAGCTCTTGGGACAGTCCTCACTTGGTTTTCCTTAGAGACACCAGAGATGGAAGGAGTGACCTGTGCTCAGCTTGATGCAGACTGTTTTACCAGGGCAGTCATAGTAGGATAGCACTCTTTAGTCCCATCATTTACAGAATAAAACACTGAAAGGAATGGGAGACCATAGTCTGCCTGGATTTTCATTCCCCCTGGCTCTAGGAAAAAGGTCATTCTCCCAGCCCAGGGGAGAACTCCCCCCAGTTCCCTCATCCATTGCGTTGCCCTTGACCTAAGCCCCTTCTCCTGCTCTGAGGACAGCCACCATACCATGCCCATTATCCATCCCAGCCCTGTATTTCCCCCACCTCTTCCATCTTCTACAGGAGGACAGAAAGGAAGGGTACGTGGTTACCTGCAGTTCCAGGACTGACTCTCCCTCGGCAATTCATTCTCTCCACCAGTGTGAAAACAGAGTTCACTCTTCTCCAAGAGCTCGCATTACCAATCTGACCACAAACGCAGCCTTCCTACTACACAGGGCAGCTCCCACACGGGTGAGGAGCCTTCACAGTCTCTAATCTGGTGCACAGGAAAAAGCCATATCCTGGGTGTTCCCCACAGCACATGGAGATTGGGGAACTTTCATCATTACCCTGCAAGGACATTTCACAAGATGCTCCTTGCAACACAGAATCTCACAGAGACAAAAGGAAACAGATGAAGAGTAGCATCATTCCAGCTCAAACAACCTCCCTTTGCAAATACTCAAGTGAGTTTCACAGGACCTAATGTTGTCCTTCCCTCTTTGGTACTTGCTCTTTCCCCCTTCACTGAGTGTGTGTGTGAAAACACATATACTGGTAGGTATGTTGGGTGTTTACTGGCAAAGCACTAAACCCACTCATAACATCCTGCAAAAGGGAGTCCAAAAATGGCAAGAAACCATATCTGTGACTCATCCTTAGCAGCCCACATGAAGCCTGAGCCCAGTAACCCAGAGAACAACAAAGAACTTTCCAACTTTTAACTATTTTTAACTAAGTGCTCAGGAACAGAGGATGGAGCTTTGAGCAGAGGGGCCAACATTGCAGAGAGTAAGCCAACATGTAAATAAACTCTTGAAGAAGTGACTAAAATGACACTTTGTGGTGATTAGCTTGTATGACTTCAGACTAAAGAGGTAACTTGTGCTGTTGTGCTCACAGCCAGAGCACTGGGCTTAGGCAGAGCCAGAGGGGAATGGGAAGAGTCAAAGTAAGAAAAATAGTGTAAAGAAGTATGTTCAGTAAGACCTGTGTGGAAAGATGAAGTTTGACTTGGTCAGGACCAAAAAAAGCACAAGCATACATGGTGGTTCTAACACTGCTCAAGGTGTCTTGAAGGAAAATTCTGCATGACATTGTCCCTAAAGATAACCCGGAGGACAAGGAAGCACTACTGGATCTCATTGTACCCTGAATGGACTGAGATGGATACGCAGCCTTTGCTCTTCCTTGTTCCCTCGGCTGGTTTCTTCCTGTGAAGGGGCATGCATGAGGAAGGAATGGGGTAGCTAATAGCAATAACAGAGGGATATCAGCTGAAGCCTCAAAAGATCAGAGCATAGAACAGGTTACAAGTGAGGACAAGCCTAAACTGTATGTAGAAGATATCCCCTGAATATGCTTTTTGTGCACACCAGGCTTCAGGTAGGCACAGACTCTAAATTTCTAAACACCTTTACATAACTTATGTCCGAAAGCTCTAACCCCTCGAGAAAAACACATTCACACAACTACTTTTGCAACCTCCAGTCTGCCACCAAAACCACTGCAGGAAGCACAGCTGTACATCCCCTTTTCTGGAAGCAGAGTTCCCCTAGTCTCACACACTTCCTGCTGCAGACACAGGGTTCGTGTGTATCCACACCACTTCCTACAGCCCGCTGACCCACAGGCCGGTGGGACAGCACAGGGTCACATACACACACTGCAGCTGTGGCTCTGTACCTGCTGCAGCCCTGACTGCCACGAGTGCAGGCCACCCACGGCATCCACGGTGAGGGTGCTCTCTTACAGACAGATGCTGCAAAGTTGCAGAACAGCCTGATGTCGACTGCCACTTCCTTCCCATTTCTCTGTTTCCTCTCTGTCATCTCGTTTCTTCCAAATTTGGTTTTCAGACTGATATTTCTCTATCTCAGAAGCCTTTTTTAATTCTCCAATTATTGTTAAGCTGGTGGTCCTCTTCTTCTTTAACAGCAGTTCTGCATCAACGGAGGGGAAATGGCCTTTATTTTAGTTCCTAAGAGAGCAGTCACAGAGCCAAGTTGCACTTGCAGTTGCATTCGCTATGCAGAGATGGCACTATTTGCTCAGGAAAGCTTGAGCAGATGATGTTTCCTATGGCAAACAAAAGTGAGGACAGAGGGAAGGGGTGGAGAAAAAGTGAGATCCATGGTGGCATATGGTCTGCAGCAGGACATGAAGGCAATTCAATAGGCAATGAACTGCTGGAAGGGAATTCATGTGCAGCAGCAGCCCTGCCCTGCCCCTTGCAGCCTCTTCTGCAGCATGACCTGGCCTGGGCAGGCATGCCCTTACAGGGCCCATGGAGGATTTGGCCTTCCAGGAATGCTGCTGCGTCAGGTGAGCTTGGGATCAGCTCTGACTTGGGAAGAGGACTTCTTCCTCCACGTGGCACTCAAGGCCCAGAGTGGATTGTTTTTCCCATGGGAGCAAGTCCAGAGGGAGAGCCATGGAGATGGAGGCAAAGGGAATGGAGACAGAGGGCTGCAGCACCTCTCCTTTAAAGACAAGCTGTAGCATTTGTACAGCCTGGGGAAGAGAAGACTCCAAGGTGACCTTGGAGCAGCCTTCCAGTCCCTAAAGGAGGCTTACAGCGAGGATGCAGAGGCACCTTTCACACGGCCATGTCGTGATGGCACAAGGGTTCATGGCTGTAAACTGAGTGAGGGTAGGTTAGATTAGATTCCAGGAAGAAATTCTCTACAGTGACGTTGGTGAAGCACTGGCACAGGTTTCCCAGAGGAGTTGTCGATGCCCAATCCCTGCAAGTGTTCAAGGCCAGGCTGGATGGGGCTTTGAGCAACCTGCTCGAGTGGAAGGTGCCCCTGCTCAAGACCCAGGGCTTGAAACTAGATGATCTATAAGGTTCCTGTCCAACACAAACCATTCCACGATTCAAGGATTATACCCCTGCAGATTAGAGATGGAAAGAGAGAAAGAGAGATCTACACACACTGCACAGAGACTTTTTCCATTGGTCTAATACTGTATTTCTCTTGCATAAGGTGTCAGACATTGATCAGCAAAACCAGGGCAAGTGCAGGACATTCTGTGTGACTCCACAGAAAGCAGAGACTTCTGCTCAAGCAGACAAAGAAACTTGCAGCTCAGGACATCTGTCTTCCATTCCTGTGTCTTCTTCCTGGAGAACTCCATGTCTTTTCTGCCAGTGGCCACTGGACCCACTCAGAGAGAAGAGAACACAAGAACACAGGACCTGCTTTGATGACCCTCAGCCTTCATGTGTTCCCTCAGCCCCTCCGTGCACTGGGGATGCTGGACAAAGGGTCATATCACTTCCCCTCCCGTTATCCCACCCAGCACAGTGCAGATGCAGGCTTCAGGGCTCCCCACCCCTCCCAGCACAGCCCAGACCGGTTCCAGCTCACTGCTCACCACCCACTTTTACAAAGGATGAGGGTATCTTCATCACACAGTTACTGCTGCAGCTTCACAAATCCGCCAATGCTGCTGACATCTGACATTATTCCAGTTGTTGGGTATTTCTGAATCCTTGTGTATTGCAACGCACTTCTCATCACCCTCACTTGGTTCACCTGTTCGCCAGAACCTGAGACAGAGACAGGCACATTACTCCCCAGCTTTCACTGTAAAGCACTGCTGAAAAAGGCCACAGAGGGATGCAGGACTTGAAAGGGAGAGAGAAAGATTCCCAGTGCTGATTCATGGACAGAAGCAGTACCCTTCCTCCCTCTCTGATATCCCACTGGCACCAGTGTCACATGGGAAGCTGCCTTCTTCCTCCAGCCTTCCAACACAGAAGGGCCCTCACCCTTCCTTCTGGGGGAACTGATCACCAGCACTCAACCCATCAGCTTCACACCCAGCAGAGACGTGTCTGTCTCTGGGCAAGTTTGTGATCCCTCCCTCTCACACACCAGCAACACCCTCACATCTTCCCTTCTTTCTTGCACTACCAGGAACCACACCAATCACTCTCCATCCAGGGATACTCACGCTGCTGTCACATTATAGGGAGTCTTGTCCACCCACTGCCACTGATCCTTAATCACTGCTCTCAGACCGATATAGAAATTCGGTCTTCCTGTACCTTGTTTTATCTGCTCAGAGAGGAAAACCTGGAAATGAGGGAGAGTACAATATCTGTGAGATGAAGGACTGATCAGAGGGAGGCATCAGGAGTCCATGTGGGGTAGGGATGGTGGCACACAGAACCCAGTGCAGGACAAGGAGGAGCTCTGAGTCCCCTCCAGAGCCCAGCACTGTGTCTATGGCTGCTCTGCCCCTCTCTCAGCCCTGTGCACGTACCTGCTCTTCCCTGCTGTTGATCACCACCAGGTGGGAGCCCATCCCAGTGCAGTTCTGCTCACTCTCAGCCCAGGGCATCTTATCAAGGGACAGAAAATAGCAGCTGTTTTGAAACCTTTTCCAACCCTTTGGGCAGCACACCCAGCCTTGGCCTGTGTGGGGAGAGAACACAGATATGAATGCAGTGACTGCTAGCAACAAGAGAGATGGTGATTGCAAAGATCCAAGTTCTCCAGGGATAGTGCTCATGTTCTCCTAAGTCACTTTTCCTGACAGAAAGTGCCTGAAAAACAAGGAGAGTACAAATACATTTTTCCTATTGCTTGGGGGATGACCAGTGAGGTTTTTGCATACAATTGGTAATTCTTGCAAAATTTCAGGTCTTGACTAAGTTATTTTGTTGATCTGAATTGTCTTCTCCCTGTACAGTCTCCTTTAGGCCTTTAGCCCCAGGAAACAGGGGATATTGCTTCTTTCCCTGACTGGAGCTGCCCTTTTATTACTGCTCCATTGTTAACCTCCCCTGGGCCACTCTCTGCTGTCCCCTTTGTCTGGGCAGAGTTCACAGCCATGCTGCCCCCCAAGGACATCATTAACACGGCCTAAGCTCTTAGCAGGAAACCCTTTTTCTCCCTGCTTCCCTCCTCTGCAGTCTGCCTCTCCCCACTCTGCTCCTGCTGCCACTTGCTGTCAGAGCAGATCTCAGCATTCATGGCCCCCATCCCAAAGACCTCCTGTACCCCTGCCAGCCCTACTGACCTTTGTTTTCTGACACCGCTGAGTTGCACTCCCACGCCGTGAATTTCTCCTGCAGGGCTGTGGGCTGCTTGCTGCTGTGGGAGAAGGGAGCCACTGGAAAGGGAGAGGAAAGGTGGCAGCATTACCCCTTCCTCCTGGTTGCTCACACAGCGTCTCTGGCCTTCACTCCTCTTCCCCGTTTCCACACCAAGCATTGCTCCAGCCATCTCCTCTCCTGGCCCAAACAACTGGCGTGGCTGCCTTCCCAGCCACAAAGAGACAATCTTGCTTCTCACACAGCAGAAGGAACACTGCAAGGACACACCCTGAGGACATGCCACACATTGATTGCAGCACTGAGTGCACCCAACCACAGCCACTCCACCATCGACATACCAACAGCCAAGCTGCCAGTCTAAACCTCTGTACAATCAGTGAATAAAAAGCAGCTCTTCAGTGTCACACTATCACTGCCTAAATTAGAGATCAACAGCAATTTGGAGGAGTAGCACATCAGATGGGCCTGTTCCATCAGCAACAGACAGATAATCGCATACAGGTGGAGCTGCTGAAACCAGAGTGGAGGGTAAACTCGTAGGAGTTCATAGCCCCCAGTTTCTGGGGAATAACACAGTGTTGCTGAATGGTCACATCCACAACCTGAAGGACTTAGTTCTATTTACTTAGCCTTTTCCAGTGCCCAACCACCTGTCAGGATGAAAAACTGTTTCCTAATATAAAACTTAAACCTCCCTTGACTCAGCTTCATGCTGTTCTCTTGGGTCATGTCACTGGTTATGAGAGTGAAGGGATCTGTACTTGAGAATTTGGGCAAGCATGCCATGAATGATCTTTAACAAATAATAATAATGGCCAGTCTTCACGAGTGAAGATCCGGGGAAGGTCTTTCCACCTTCCAGCCTGCGCATTGGATTTTTTAGGTGAGACACAGTGTGCGCGGAACTGAGCCCACCCTTTAATCCTAAGGTTCATCTGCCGGGGCCAAGCGAGCTTGGACGGTGGCAGCGAGGTCCTCAGGACGTAGGTGGGTTGCCTTACAGGGCTAACGAGCTCCACCTGCCCAGGAGTGGCCCTGACCGGGAATCGAACCCGGGTCTCGGCAGTGATAGCGCCGCGCCTTTACCACTAGACCACCAGGGGCTCCTCTTTAACAAAAAATGAGAATGAAACAGTTATCACAATCTCCGCAAACTGCATGTGCAAGAATAACTTTTATTTATTTAATCTTCAATTAACCCTAAAAAGGTTTGAGAGTTAGCAGTGTGCAGCTTATCCTGGAGATGCTAGGACTATGAGAACCATGTGTTCCATTAGGACACAAAGTGTGTCCAAGCACCTTAGAGAGCCTAAGTGCAGATTCAGGTGCCTGTGTAGGCTCTTGTGCTTCCATCTCCACTTTTTGCCCTCTGTTAAATGTAATTAAGTTCTTTTAGTGTAGTATGAAGGTAGAGAATCGTTCTGAAGTTCCAGAGAGGCCATGCAAGATGGGAATGTGCAACCTGGGCACACTGAAAAGACTCAGGTAAACAGTGGAAAATTTGTATGCAGACATATACAAAGTCAGGTCAGGAAAACCTGAGACCTTTACACAAAGCCCAGACAACCATGCAGTTCTGAAGATGGCTATGCTTCAAGTCTAGAGACCTCCAGAAGCCCCTTCCTACCTAAGTCTTTGCATAATTCTAAGGAAGAGGGTGGGTATAACAGAACCATCTGGCATAATGCTGGGGTAGTCCTGCCTCCCACATGCCAGTCGGCCATAACATCTGCTTTGGCTGGCCTGCAAGAGGGAAGTTTGTGTCATGCTGCAACTGTTTGCTCCTAAACATACCGTTCAAATGTTCAACATTTGCATGTTGTGAACCCAGATGCTGGTGCTTGCATCCTTTTCTCATTACAAAATTGTTCTTGAGTAAAAGTCCCCTCCAGTTGGAAGGTATTCTCCTCTGGGTTCTGATTTCTCTTCCTTTATCCCAGCACTTCCCCCAGACCTCTCTCCTATAACCAGCCTGCACATACTCACCAAGGAGAACAACAACAAGGGCAATGCACGTCAAGAGGAGCAGCAGTGAGATCAGCCACGGGAGCCATGGTGGGTATTTCTGGGGATGGTGCTCGTGCTTCTTCGTCTCAGGAGGTGCTAAAAGTGAAGGAACACACCAAACAAAACACCATATACCAAGGATGTACTACTCAAGAGAGAGCTGCTCAAAAATAAAAAGCAATTTCATTTCTGATGTGGAAGTTACACAACTGGGGAGAAGGGCAGACTGGGACAGAGCAGGGGACCTCTGTGGTTTCTGGAGAAGGTCAAGTTCAGTGACAGGATTCCCAGTTCCAGCCCAGCTGGTGAACTAACAACGCTAACTGCTGTTGTCAGGAGGTGAAGCCTTCATGTGGCCTCAAAATCTGCAGTGAAACTGCGTCCTTCTAGAATGAGCGCAAAGCTGCCAAATACAACATTGCTCTATCCATAATACTTGAGACATTCATACGAAGATTTCATGTTGACTTCTTCCCAGAAAACTTTTTATGCCTGATTCAGTTCCTTCTGAGCTTTTTGAACTTCCTGTGCAGAAGGTTGGTATAAGATGAATGAGGACAGGAGACAAAAAATGTGCAATGCTATGATGGCTCATAATCATTGGGAGATGAAAAGCTATACTGTGACGGATGGGTTGGAGGGGGAACCTTCAGGTCCTGGGTGTTAGGCCATTTCCTGGAGGTGAATGCTCTTCCACCCTGCCCCCCAGCACGCGGCCCTTCGAACCTGTAAGGAGCTCACACAGACCACGCAGAGGGACAGATGAAAGAGAACGTTTATTGTGGGGATGGGGGTTTATAAGGCTTTTAGGGGGGTTAAAAAAGAACCAGTTACAGGCTCAGGGTCTTACAGAAAAACCAATCAGGTAAAGAGTTAATAGCCAATAGGAAAGGGTTAACAAAAGCCAATGAGAAGACCTCAGGATATCTTCCCAGGACATTCCTGCATGGGAGATAAGAGTTCTTTGCAGAGAGTGTTGGGAAGAAAGAGCAGTGACTTGCAGAAATAAGAAAAGGCCTTTTTAAGATATGTTTAAACAACATAAAAAACTTCTGTTTTTAAAACATTTGGGCTGTTTTCTTCTTTTTCTTCACCAGTCCATCTTTGACAGGACTTTTTCTATCCTACATATGGTAAATCCATTGCCACACTATATTTTTCCCTTCCATCTCTGCTCTCCAAGCCAGGGTTCAGAGATTTGCTGTAATACGTTCTGCTAGGATGGATTCCTCAGGAGTACAAAGGGCTGTGTCCAGCACTCTAAGTAAAGTATCACACTCAGACTAAGACTTGACAGGACCTGACTTTTGTCTAGGGGGATTTTGCCAGTACTGAAGAGACAGGAGAGCGAGTCACAGGGAAGGAGAAGCCATCGCTTGTTAGGAGACTGTTCTAGCTTGTGGCAGGTACACAAGCCAGAGCAAATAGAAAGGTAAAGAGACTGCAGCACTCACTGCAGGACAGGAATAAATAAGTTTCTGGAGAGACTCACATTAATGATAAGATTTAAAGAGACCTCATTCACTGCTCAGCATGAGACTCCCAAGTCTGTCAGCAGCCATGTGTGCCTGCCAGCCATGCCTAGTAAGCAAGACTTCCAGAAACCTGCTCTTTGTGGAAGCCTTCTGACTACTTCCCAAAGGCTACAGAAGGGCAAAAGGCATCATGCATTATCTGTAGAGAAAACATTCATAGACAGACAAGATCCAGATTTCCTTGGTCAAATAATGTTTTTCTAGCCAAAGCTTTTGTCTGTAGTGAAAAGAAGGAATCGGATCATGATCTGGAGTCCAGCCACCTACTTCGGACCTAACGAGTCCAAATAATTTTTTTGATGTGCAGCACATCCAGAGTATGACTGTTCAACCCATGCCCGGTCAGACCTGAGCCTTCCACACTCACACCCACTCAGCACAGGGGGCACTGCATGCCATACACCTCAGCAGCAGTAGTGCTGAGTGCAGTAATCTTGTGCACACTCAGTGGGTTGAGCTCCCTGCAAAATGCTTTCCACAGTTGGTCTGCATGCTTGTAACATGTCCAGCATGATCCCAGCATAACAGACTTGAGAAGCATACGCTGTTTATTCAGCATGTAAATCCAGCATCTCCTGGGCACAGGCAGCAAACGTGGGGCAGCACAGATGCCTGTGTTTTTATCTGGGAAATCCTGGTTGGAAATGAGGAACTCTATCTGCACTGTGGTGTGAAACACACCCCAACAGGCTCTGCCATTTCCTGTCAGAGCTCATGTATTGTTTGATTAGCCTTCTCCTCTCTAACCTCTTGGCTGCCAATTTTGGTATCTCTAGAGCCCAGCTGGAAGGGGCTACAGAATGGGAAAACCCAGGTGTGCTTGGCCATTACCAACACAGGGTCTGCATGGCCAGAGTAACCATTCAGAAGAACAACAGAGTAGCAAGACTGTCCCAATCTTTCACTAGTAATCACAACACACATCCTGTGGGCATAATGTGAGGCTGTGAGAGACACAGAACTGTCTGCAATGGTACTACCAGACACTTCTCTGCATTCCAAACTACAGACAGTGTGAGATCACTTCAACAGGCACACCCAAAATCAGACTCTGAGCACACACCCAAACCTATAGCATAAGCTTGGCATCCACAGCTCAAGCAGACATGGCTGGATCAGATGTCTTTGGAACATAATTTGGAACACAGTGGGGAACTTCCACCACCCCCACCTCACCACAGTGGAAATGCTAGCTGTATCCAGAACCAGCTGATCTCGGTGCACTGAAAACAGTGAGCTTTCAAGAGAGTAGTTTATTTCCATGACTCATGCCTCAGAGCAGTCAAGGAATAACCTGGAGCTGATGCCTGCTCTGTTTGGGATTGTAAAACTGAGGCAAAGCTGTTAATAGGCAAGTTAATATCTTTAGCAGCAGTAATTATTTAATTATTAATTTTTTATTCATTGATTTATGCACACATACTTTCACTCCCCTGAAACCTGCTGTTGTGTAGGGTCCTGTGTGTCAGGGCAGAAGCAATGAGCTATACATAAAACCTCTCTATGTGTTCCTACTTGTGGCATAATTACTGAAGAATACATTCTGATCAGAATAGGTCTTATATTTGCATAAAGTCTGGTTGAAAAAAAAACCACCCACAAACATTTTACCGCTGTAATTTTTAATAGCAATAAAAATTTGTTTGCTTGGTGCATTAATTATTTTTCAGGAGTGGCAGACATCAATAATAGAGTTGGATATTCCTCCAGATCTTAAATAATTCTCCTTATGTGTATTTTAGGGTGTTATGTTCAAGTTTTGGGTCTGTCTCTTTTCTCCAACGACCATTTCTCAATCAACCATGGACAATGGTGTTATAAGTTCCTGCAGCCAGTACCACTTCTCATGAAGCTGCAGAGTAGAGCTGACTGCTCTACTATAGGGAGACTCCTGTCCTTAACATAAGCAGGAATCTGTGGTTGCACTCTCTTAGAAGCAAGAGCGGTAGCAGCAAGGGCTTGGGCTTATTTGCTGCTTTGGGAGCCCCTCCACCTTTGTAACAGATCAGATTGTTTGTAATAAATCGTAGTCTTTATTGTTGTTACTCAGTACTGTCCAAGAATGATTCATCCAAGACTACTAACATGTAAGGATGTAGCCAGCATGGAAGCAGGGCTAAGCACTACTCCTGTACAGTGCCTATGCTGGACCTTCTACTGTTTGCCACTGTTGATATTGCAACCAAGGGACTGAGGGAGCCCAAATACGTTCCTTAATGAATGTTCACTTGAAACCTACTGTTTGTGCTCCCAGTAGTCATCCTTGATCACGCTGCAACTCCAACTCACCTTTACTCTTGCAGACATTCCTTGAGACTCTTACTTCAAAACTCCTCCAGTCTCCTGCTCATTTAGTGGTAGACAGCTCCTTTTTCTCACCAATCCATCAAGGCCAGGTAGAAACCAGAGTCACAGAAGGAAAAGTCTCTGTTCCCTGGTCTTCCTCCCCCCTTCATGCCTGCTTCGTTTCCCCTGAATAACCCATCCATTCCTTACCTTCAATCACTGCAGTCGGTGATGCATTCTTGAACTTCACCTCAGCATAGGTGACTTCTGATGCCATTTAATCACAGCGTGACCACTGACCCTGTCCTTAGTTTTGCCACATAAAACGTGGTCCTTTTAGGTCCTTGTTTCCAGGGGGTGACACCGATAGGTTACTGAGCCTTTCCCATCAGCTCACTCGCCCTCTGCCCATAAAGGAATGATGCATTAAATGCTGGAAGCACTGGCAATAACCTCAGAGTTCCTGAGAGCTCAAAAATGCTCCATATGGGTCTTCAGTTTCTTAGCCCAGAAAATCAGCCCTGGCACTATGGAAACTTCTGAGACACAAATAAAAATAAAAAAGAGAACCTAACAACTGAAAAGGAAGTTGCATCCTTCCTTCCCCTTAACCAATTCTCAGCTGAGAGGCTTCCTTTCAAAGATATTTTTAGGGTTTTCTTTTTGTCTTTTTACCTTTCTTATTTAACTTTCTCCCCTTTCCATATTTTCCTGCCCTCCTTTGTCTGTTTGTAATTCTACTATTGCTTCTCAGTTTGCAGCTATCACAGCTCCTAGCCCAGTTTAACCTGCAGTCCAACACAAAATGCGTCCTGCCCTCTCAAGTCCCTTGTGATTAAGCTGCATTTGCTACATCAAACGTTGCAACTATGTCTCAATTCTCAGAAGTCAGTCCCAGTCAGGAGCTAGCGCTTACAACAAATCTCAAATGAGGAAATGTTCCTGTAGAAAGGAGACTAGGGATTTGCAGCCTTAGGCAGAGGAATAGAAATAATCAGAAGTATGATACTTCTAAAGAGAAACAGAAGGATGAGGCCAGGGTCAGGGAGGAGAACAAGCAAAGTGGAATTAAAAAAAAAAATATGTTGATGGTTTGAGAGGTTATTGGGAGAGACTCCACACAGTGACCTTTCTATCACAACCTGTGAATTTCCACAGCCTGTGGAAGTTCAGAGCAGTGATTGCTTCAGGCTCCATTTCAGAGGCTTTTGAAAAGGGATGGTTTATGGTTTTTTGCTCCAATACTGTAATTTATCTCCCTTATCTGGTTTCTGGTAAAGGCCTCTGATATTACCTTGGACAACATGTCAGTCTACTTCAGTTTAGTCTGATTTCAAGCTGGGGTAGATCTTGAAAGGAGACAATTAAGGGAAATGGCTGCTGAGATACATGCTAGATCAGAAAGACTCTGAGAAGAAATGCCAATAAGTCAGGCAGGTTGAGAAGGGTTCAGATAGGACTCAGGAATCACAGAATGGTTTGGGTCAGAAGGGACCTTCACAGACTATGAATGGGCTGCCCAGGGAAGTGGTGAATTCTATGTCCCTGGAGGTTTTTAAGATGAGACTGGATGTGGCACTTAGTGCCGTGGTCTAGTAACCCCGGCAGTGTTAGATCAAGGGTTGGACTTGATGATCTCGGAGGTGTTTTCCAACCCAGCTGATTCTATGATTCTATGATTCACAGATTACAGAGAACTACCCCTAAACAGAGTGGGGCATATGTAGCTGGATTTCTTTATCAAGGAGCCTCCTCATGTCTTGTGTGCTCTAAACTGGCTTTACTTCTCCATTTGGTATTGTTTGCAAAGAGCGTGACTTTTATACAAGAATCAGAACAGCTGCAGAACAGAAGCCTGGCCCCTTGAGAATATGCCTGCTTTTCCTTCCAGCACTATGCTTTGTCTTCAGGCTTGGCCTTCTCACTGGAATTAAGTCTTCCCGAGTGTCTGTTGAAATCTAGTAAGCCCTCAAATTTCATGTTGAGATTTCAGAGCAATCCTCTGCATGATTCCTCCTGTCACCATCCAACCAAGTTCAACAGACCCAGTCTCGTGAGGAAAAGGCTTACTTCCTGTCAGGGTTTCAAGAATTCCACTGTGAAGAAACAGGAAACACAATCAGCAGACAGAGAAGGAAGTAACTGAGTAGCTTCATGAGTTTTTTCCACTGAAACACATCTCCAAACACAGCTGAGGCATTTCAAATGTGAATTCAGACTGTAGCTGCTCTTTTTATTAGACTACACTAGACTGCACTCAAACATCAGTAACAGCTCAATTCTTCTTTCTCAGCCATCAGTTGTTGTTGCTTGCTATCGAAATTCAACCCTGAATCATACTTCCATACGATGCAATGCTGAGCTAGAGTGCAACAACAGTGAGGCGTTATTCCTGAGGGTAAAATTTGTCCTTTGAATTTCATACACACTGATGGCATGTAAATGGGTGGGAGACAGGAACAATTGGGCACTGCAGTTAGTTGTGGTGCTGAAAAATAAAATAAAATTAAAATAAAAAAATAACATCTTGCTTAAAAAAAAAAAAACAAACTCACGGTTTATTTCCTTGCATTCTCACCGCTGTTCCTCAGTTCCTCCCTTTCCCCGCTTCTGTGTTCTGGTCCATCCCCTTGTCCTCCAACAATACCCGTGTTTCCCCACAGACATCTTTCAGCTGAACCCTATTCTGCACTGCCACATATCTCCCACACTCCCAACTCCCACGTGCCTCACAATCCAGCTCCTTTCTAGGACTCATGTGTTTGTTCACCTCAACAGTCCTGTACTTCGTCCTTACTTGTGCTCCTGTTGCTGGTTGCTCTGCAAGCTCCATGGGCACCATTTGGCTGGCTGACCCAAACAGAAAGCACCAGAGGAATTAATGCTCTTTCTAGCAAGCAGGTCCATGTGACAGCAGAGGAGACAGTGCCATTGCACATGCCTTACTTCTTTTGAAAATCCATCTGAACCAGCGAGCAGAGCAGCCAAGGAAAGACCATAAAAAGACACTGGAACAAGGAAAACGGGGACTCAGGGCCAGATACTGAGAAGTTATTAAGGGAGGTGAGATACTTACTCAAAGGGATTCAGGCAGTAAAAGTTCTCTGAGAGCTCCTGAGGGATTTGGCTTGTCAGATAGGATCTAGCAACAAGAGACCCCATTGTGTACCCTGCTGCAAGGAAAAGGTTAAAGCAGGGAGGGACAGTATGCTGCAGTTCTTACTGCAGGAGCTGAGTTCCCCCAGCTCCAGGGGACAGTGTGGGAGCACTGCAACCCCCTGGGACCTGGGAGAAAGGCATTCCATGCCCTTCTCAACCTAGGCTGATGACACTGGCCAGAGTTGCAAGGATAACAGACCTCTTCTGGAAGGCAGTCACAGAAGGTGAACCAGGGTTCCACACAGATTGCCAGGAGACCTAGGAAGAAATGTGTTATAAGACCTATGAAAGCTCAGAGAAAAGGTCATTTGAGCCAGCATCCAGTGGAGAAAACAGGGAAGTACTGAATGGACAGCGAGAAAGGGAGGTGAGAGCAATGAGTGGGATGGGTTAAACAGAAGGCAGCACTGTGAAGCCACACTAGTTTCTGGCAGGTGGCAGCACTTCACCACAGGCAGGCCTGAGTCAGCGGCAACACACGGTGTCCTGAGCAAAACCACCTAGCGTGACACTAGTACATAGACAGAGACCAGCACCTCCCCAAAATGCTATGGTTACAATACCATGCAGAACACAGTGAAAGGAAAGAAAAGCAGGAGAGATGAGAAAGAAATGTTTCCCCCCAAAAAGGGTTTGCGCATTTTTCACCTGCACATATTTCTACCAAGTTTTAGTGAGACCTGAGATATTCAAGCAGAAGAGGCTATGCCCCAAAGTTAAATGAGCTGAGGGAGCTCAAACTCAGTCAGACTCCAGAAGGAAAAGTCGTGTGCCCAGCTGTAATGATAGGCTATCCAAATCCCCCAGGTGCAAGGGAAAGAATAAGAGAAGGAAGAACACTATCTAGGGAATCTTCAGAGACAAGAAGCCCCAACCTGCCTCTTTACATAAAGCATTAACATAGGCTTGTTTCTTCAGAAAAGAAGGGACATGTTTCATTCATTTCCCCTAATTAACAAAATTAAAAAAATTATCCAGTCAAAGCCAACTGAGGACACAGTTGCATTTATCTCACAGCTTTGGTTTATTCCATTACTGTGAACATTGCACCTTTGCCCCCTTCCTCTTTTGGATCAGAGTCACAAGTCTCAAGGCCAGAAATTGTTGGAAATCAGGTCCAGATACTTGCCAGATATTGCAGATGCATTACACATCTGACTTCAAACCTGGGCCAGATCCAAGTCCTGTTTGGACCCCAATGGCCTGTTTCAGAGGCAGGGCTGTGAAGTTTATCTTCTTTAATAAACTGCACATGGGATTTGCATGAAACAGTTGTGGCCACATAACAGCTCCCCACAGAAGCAATTCTTCATGCTTCATTTCCAGTTCTATCTAAGGATCATCAACAGCCTTGAATTCAGTTTGGATACTCTCTGCCCAGTGAGGTGAATGCACCTGATCTCCTTCTTTTGAATGGGGAATGGGGGGAGTGGAAAGAAAAGCACAAAAATGGAAAACAACCACAGTCACCAAGCAACTATGGGGGTTATCAAGTAAGGTCACACAGATCCATGCTGTAATCTTAGGGCCACTCTTTTTTGATCTCAAGCTGTTCCCCTCGACATCCTCTCCACACAGTAAAATCTTCTCATAGAGAGGTTTTGGGGACAGCCATCCTGGTCAGGTTGTCCCAGTAGGTGGGTCTGGAATAGCAGCACAAACTTCCCTGGTCCTGAAGAGCTCCCTCACCCCACTCATATCCCCAAGGGCAGATGTAGCAGTGAGATTGTAAATGGCCTGTGCTGACCCTTACCCTGCACTCCATAGCCAAGGCAGCCCTGCATGCCATTTGCAGCCTCCAAGCCCACCTCATGTTGGTCAGCACAGGGCGGGAGGACACCACCTGCCCCAGAGGAGCGCAGATCTCCCACATCTGCACTGTCCTGTCAGGACACAACAAGGCAAAGGCCATTTTAAACAGTCATAGAAAGCTGAATTAAAACCAGCGAGAATAGTCAACTCAGTCAGACACTCCTTGGCACCTCTTCACTAAAACATGCTAGGAAAGTTTGAATGCCAGGCAGGGAGGGCTTAAGCTTTGGGGTTCAACTGTATGCAGGAGCCTCCTCATGACACAGATGTCAACACAGTTGGATGGGTGAAGGGCAATTTTTTTTGAAGAGCACACTCTCCAGATGCCTGTGTCACTGACTTTTACCACAGTAGGACACTGAAGTCAACACAGTAAAGTGAAGGGCAAGCAAATGGCACTTCAGGGTACCCTGCTCCAGCATGAAGCCAGCATTGACTCAAAGGGCAAAGGGCCCCTGCTGCTGACTCCCTGCAGGCCCCGGAGCTGCCAACTGGGATGACACAGAGAGCAAAGTGCTGCTTGATGACTCACACTGGCCTGCAGCACCATGGCCTGTCTCTTAGACCCTGCTTCCAGTTCACAGTTATTCACATATTTAGCATTTTAAGACTGGACCAGATAGGCTCAGCACACTATCCTGGTCCTTGCCCAGTCTCTGCCCTTCCTGAGGTGACAGACAGCTGTCAGACCTCAGTGTTCCCCACCACTGACCACCCTCCCATGTCAGATGTCTCACCACACTGCTGGCCCACCATGGGCCCCACCCCACCACAACCCGGCACAAAAGATGTGCTAGGAAATACTTCAAACTGGAGGCATCTTGTGCAAACCTTTCTCAAAGCAGGACTACTTCTGGAGCTGGACCAGGCTACAGAGGGCAGGTTATCTGCTTACAGTAACCCTGCCTCTGTATGGAATGTATTGCTTAAAGGCTTTTCTTGTTACCAAAAAGTATGCAGTGGTCATTTCCAGGCACAGCACATACCCATGGTATTGACTTCACCTTTAGGTATTGGTGACAGCAGCCCCAAACTCTGGGCCAGACATACAGCCTATGCTGCCATATCTATAACCCCTCAGCACATATTGTCCAAAAAAATGCTCTCCTACTCCTTCCCACTTGGGACTGCTGCTCGTTGGAATACAGCACCTTGTCCCTGCCAGCTAACCAAAGTGCTGGTTTGCGTAGCACTACTGACATAGCATCTCCACACATCTTTAAACAGTTTGCTTAACACTGTAAACATGCGCTTACAGACAAATGCTTAGACATCACTTTAAAAAAGACTAGGAGGGGTGCTGTTCCTTTGGGCCAAACTTCAAAGACAATATAAATACATACCTGTACGTACACTGGACCACAAGAGGAGATATGTGCCTGCCCTGGCACAGCTTGATTCCAAGCCCCACACAAGGCTTTCTGTGCAGCAGGGAAACACAGAGGGCATTGCGATTGCAGAATATGGGTACATTTGAAAGCACCAGATTCGTTATTGCCAAATTATCAAAGTACAAATCAGCAGCTGCGATTTCTTTTCAGAGAGCACCTCACCAGTGCTAGCCGAGTCTCAGGTGATGTCTGCCTGCATCCCACCCGCTACTCCCCCGATTCCTGGGCGCCAGCTGGCCCCTGAAGCTGGTGGCTGAGCCCAGGAATTGCAGGAAAGCCCGCAACAAAGGGTTTCAGCAGCAGATGGCAGCACACGGTCACAGGTGAGACTGAACTTCCAACGCCCGATCGCGGATGAGGCTTGCAGACCAAGCTAGGAGGGCAGGGAAGCACCACACATCCCTAGAACACAAGGCTCAAAACAAAGGCTGCAAGTTACAGGCGGCTTCCTCCTTTAGGGAATGTCCCTTCAGACTGCTTCACGGTCTAAAAAGCCAGACTACTATGGAAGCCAGATGCTTCTGTCCCAGCACTCAGGAGCTGCTGTTCTACAATGCCTACCTAGGAAAGAAAACGGAAAGCAGGCTATTGCAAGTTATCTGGCTGGCCTGCCCCAAACACAAGGGATGCAAGAAGATCCCAACATTGACAGCTGTAAAACTTGGCTCTGCTCAGGAGCCACTACACAGACCAGCTGTTGCTGACTGATCCATCTTCCCATGCTCAGCTTCAAGGAATGTCTTGTCAAACTCTGGATGGGGAAAAATTAAGCTACCAAACTAGAAGGGCACTGCATCCTGCAACGTGCTTTCCCTTTTCCTGTGAGCATGGACAGAGATATTAACTTGGAAGAAAGAGACCAACCAGTAACAGTCTCTAGAGTGAGAGTCTATTGTTCACATAATGCAATGAGCACTCAACATATTGCCCAGACCTTGAGGCATTACGTGTGTTAACTACTTAGGCCCCAGGGCTCCAGTTCTATGCATTACCAGCCCAGCTATTCTCCCTCCAAGAACTTAGTAGATTTATGCTGATTTAACAGGTTGAGTTCAGATTCAGATTCTGTTTCATTACCAATGTTCAGGAAGACTTTGGGGTTTTTGGTTTCCTGTTTTGTTTTTATTTGGAAGGACAACTCTTCCTCTCCATTTCTTCAGGAGTCCACACACAGAATCAAGGCTTTGTGAAGTCTAGAAAGTTTGTGTCTGAAATTCACATGGTGTGGCTGTGGTAGGAACAATTGCTCAACGACTGTGAGACATAAGGCACAGAATGTAGAACATAATTAATGGGAAAAGGGGGTGAGAAACACATCCCACCTCAACTACAGCTCTCACAGAAGAAACCACCAAAAACCAGATGAAACTGGGATCTTCCCTTTGACACTTCTTTCCTGACTATATTTGCTACAGTCTGCCTCTCAACTGGCATGAACTTTTTTGCCTCTTTGACTAGTCCCTCTCAGACTGAGGGCAGGTATTCCCAAAAGCCTAAGGAAATCAGCTGATCTACTATGTGGAACATAAATGTTCAGGGGATACTGCTCAGTTTGATCTGCTGATACACATTAAGGGCCTGGTCTTGATCCTTTACCTAGAAAAGACTATTGTCTGCAATACCAGAAACAGTAGTCTCAAGCAGCATGCTTATTGGCTTCTGCTACATTAGAAGAAACCAATGGTAATGGGAAGTGCAGAAAGAGATGGAGGAATTCAGCTGGTCCAGCCACAGGCCAGGCCAAGTCATTTCACCAGTAACCTACCTGGGAGGAAAGATACGGGGACTGAGATTTCCAGAGGGGACTATGCTCTCCCCCATGAACTGCTTCCCAGTCCTCTATGTTTCTTTATGCATAAACAAGAGTATATCCCTCCACTGCCCTTAAGTGCACCTCATCTGAAATACCTCCTGCTCTGGCGAAATACCCTTTTAGGCCTTTTAATCCTTTTTGCTACAAGTACCTACTGAAAAGTCAGAGGAACTTCATTATAGCTTGTGGACATGATGCTTCATCTTCTACCTGCCAGGACCTATACCACATTCCACCAAAACAGGATCACAGCTTTGCTCCTGGATCTGAAAAAAATGTAGATTTTTTTTTTCAGCCACCACAGATATTTGACAGTTGCCTGTTTGAAACGTCAAAGTTTAAGACTTCTCATCTTTACCCAGGCCACAAGACTTCTGTTGTACTCCCAAGACAGCCATATGCACAGCTTTGCTGTCTGGCACACGAACACTGAGCAAGCATGGCTGTGCAAGATAATGGCTGTATGCAGGCTCGACAGAAGAACTACAGGGCCCTGAGCATATTCTCTGCCTTCTGGCAGACTGGCTTAAGTAATAGAGGCGTCTGGCTTTGAGAAACTGTAGCAAAGTTGGCCTTATCATAGCTAAAGGGCTCACCCTTGATCCCTGCCTGAGCTAAAGCAGCCGTGCCCACATCTGGTCACATACCCTGCTGATCTAAATCCTCACCTTGACCTGCTCTGATCTTTGTGCTCAAGTACTTCAGGACTGCTTCTTTGTTGGTGAGGCCACTGCCCCCTGCCTGCCCTCCTGTGACTCAGCTTCCAGCTTGTTCTCTTTCCAAGCAGCCTGCCCTTGCTGCCCCTGACAAAGCTCACCTTGCCCACCTCTGCAGTCAGCAGAGACTGCTTCCTATCTACCAGCATGGCAAGAATCACTTCTGAAAGTATCTGCAGGCTGCAGAAGCCTCTAATGTCCAAAATGCTAAATGTTAGGGTAACTAAGTTTTCTCGCTTGTAGTTTTATCCACACTCTTATCAGGCATCACGTGCACCTACAGTCAGGCCTGTTTCTGTATTGTTGATTTGTGTTCGGTGTCGTGTAGTGTTTTAACCCCATGTGGAGCAGCCATGTCATTTCTGTGTTCTTCTTCCACACTCCTCCCTCTTTGCCCAGACAGAGCCTGAACCCATTCACTCCTGAGGCTGCTCTTGTCCAGTTTGCAGTCCGTAATGCATATTCAGAAAGGGTAAGCAGGTTACAAGGATCTTGCTGGAGACATGAAGACATCCAACCTAGAGGCTTCCAGAGCAACAACAGTTTGACAACTGAGAAGACTCATACACTCTTTTCCCCAATATTACTTGTTTAATTACCATTTGCACCAGTACATCTTATGCTTTATATACATATATCTTTAATTTTTGCTTCTTCAGCTTTTCAAATACATAATATATTATCTCCAGAATACTAAGACAATACAGAAGAGGCTCCTAGTTAGTTGTTAATTGGTGCCATGAACTTCCTTGGTTGGGGAACTGATACATAGTTGAAATGACAGGACCTCACTAGGATTTGAGCAAACAAAAAAAGACAAAGAAAACAAAAAGCCAACCAGCAGAGTCCATGACTTCACTGGCAGACTATAGCCATCCACAAGTTCAGGAGGCAGGAAGTTGAAATGCAGTGAGACTGCAGGAGTGACTATGAAGGCAAGGGGGAAACACCAAGAGCGCCAGAGAATCAGGATTAAATGACTACTTAAAATACATCCAACAGCAGTCTGGTCCCCACTTCCACAAGTGGAACTGCAGCAGCTTTAGAGCTATCTCAATAATGTTGCTTCCCAGAGGGATGGTCTAAGTGAAACTTTGTCTCCAAATGCCCTCAGTGTAATAAGAAGACAAAAATGACAAGAGACCTTTCGGCCAGTACAAGATGCATACATCTAACTACTCTTAAAAGCCTCACCAGAAAATTTTTGCCCAAAGGCAAAAGTTTACTTGCAGAGGTGTGCTAGAGACACAAAAGTGTTGCTGTGTTGAGTGTTCAAAACAGGAAGAAGCCTTCCAGTGAAGCACCAAAACCCTAGTGTTCCAGTAACTGGGTACAGCTGTCCAAGAGTCACTGAGATCACCTTCCCAGCTAGTGTTTTGGCTTATGAGCCAGCATGAAGGGTAGCCAGCATTGTGAGGTTTCCAGCCTGCCCTGCGAGCTTTGCCCAGAGTAATCACAGACTTACACCCCAGATCACATTCATACACTGAAGTAGCATCCACATCAAGGGCCTCAGGGAGCTTTCCCAAAGAGAAAAGCAGAGAGTAAGGGCCCTTTATCTTCTTTCTAACCCCCTAAACCACACAGAAAATAGAGGGGGCTTGGGGCACATTAAAAATTTAAGAAAAAAATCCAAGTTCCAATAACCAGCTCACATCCCTACAAAGTTAACCTCAGAACAAAAGCTATAATAAGGAATACAGGTGGGAGAATTTTGCTGCCAGTCCTCAAGATTGGACCTACTATACATTTCTTACCCAAATGGCAAGCGTGAGCTGAAAAAGAAGACTGTCCTTCTCCAGAAAATAATCCACTGTCCCACCATAGTTCCTACTGTGGCATGGATATGCAATACTTGTACAGTGCCAAGTCACATAACAAGGCCAGGGCTCAGGATAGTGATGCAGGAACATGAAATACTAAGTGGTGGGAATTACCTGGTTGTCATCTAGTGCAAGTAACTACCAAATTATAACAACCGGCCTTTTGTGTTTTTTTAAAGCTATTTCCAGTTAAAAAAGCTCAGTGACAGTGAGGCCTTTGCACAGGGAGAATGGAGTTAAAATGACCTAAGTTGCTCCAGCCACCCTGCGAGCCAAATATGGAGCCTGGAGACAGGGTGCCCACCAGAAGCTACAGCGCAGCGGCAGCAGGTCCGCTCAAGGACTTGGGTGACTCCTCCCACAAGAGCACAAGAAGATCCAGCACTACCATGAACTGCACCAAAGACAGGAAGAGTAGTGTGTGCAGGGGGAGGTTCACCACAGACGTAATTAATCCAACAGGGTTTTGTGTTGAGACAAGAACTATCTCCTTACAGGTTCCGTTTACCAGCTGCAGTCAAATGCAGCTGTCCTCAGCACTGCAAGCGGCAGAGACTGGAGTCACGGTTGGAAACAGCCACAAAAAGCAACAACGTAACCAGAGAAAATTTAGAGGAAAAGGAATTTAGGGGCACCTACCCAGCCTACTCCTGTATCCACCTTCTTTAGGATTCTTGCTTTCCCTGTATGGAAAGACAGGGAAAAGGAGCTAGGATGTACCACGTAATGGCCAAGTAGGCGGAAGAAATAAGGCTACCTCTCTCCTCCTTGCCCATCTTGGGAGGAGTCAGTATGTTCTCTTTAGGTTCAGTGGGATCAAAAATTTTAAGTTTTTACCGAAGTGAAGGTCTGGTTTAAAAATGAGAGATTGTCCAAATTTGTTTTTGATTGAAGACTAGAGAGGTTTGTGCCCCCTCTGATCCCATTTGGTGCCTCTAGTGCCTCTTGGTCATCAGTTTGCCCCATTCCACTGCTTTGATCATTCAGAACTGGACCCAGTTGGACTGCTGAGGAGCCTGATTGGGAACAGTGCTGCAATAAAGAAAGGAGAGTCAAAGGGGCAGACCTAAAAAGACTTCTTAACTTACGGTTCTTCAAGTGCCCATTAGGACACCACTCTTCTTGTGTTCCTTTCATCAGAGTTTACCTGGATGCAGTGCTGAAGTCTCCCCAGAGGTCTGTGGTAGCTGGTACTGGTGCCTTGGATGCAGATGCAGGAGCATCTAAGTCTAATAGAATATCTATGGGAGGAGAGAAGGAAAAAAATAAAAATTTAAAAAAAAATCAAGCTAATCAAGAAGAAAACCCCACAGGCATTTAAACTGTCACCTTTAACAAACTCCTGGATGTAGGAGAGGAAAACCTTTGAAGAAACTCCAGCTCTCCTTCCAGAAGAAGGAAGTTACTTTTCAAGAAGTTTGTTGTAACAACATCACCTTTTCCTGAACATGCACAGAGCCTCCAGCTCACACTGCAAGGGTATAGCGAACTATTTGGTCTCCACTTAGCACACCAGCTGGCAGATTTGTGACTTACTACCTCTCCCAGTAGACATAAGGCTCAGCAATCATAACAGTTGCCAAACAGGCATCATCTTAACACCAAAAACCATGCTCTGGAACCACACAAGCCCTATTCAGAAGCTTGTGGTTTCTTCTCACTCAAACCGGTGTACAGCACTGCTGAAGTCTCTGCCTTCACAAGGGTATCATCAGCTCTCCAGACACCTCTGCATGGTCACATTTTTAGTACAGCCTCCAGAAGACTGCAGCAACCTCTTTGTTATAGAACCACAGGATGGTTTAGGTTAGAAGGGACCTTCAAAGTTCATCCAGTCCAACTGCCATGCCATGAGCAGGGACACCTTTCACTAAATGAGGTTGCTCAAAGCCCTCCCCAATCTGGCCTTTGAAATCTTCCAGTGAAGGAGTACCCAGCTTTTCTGGGCAACTTGTTACAGAGTCTCACCACCCTCACTGTAAAGAATTTATTCCTGATATCCAATCTAAATCTACCCTCCTTCAGCTTTTACCCCTTGTCCTGTCACTACAGGCCCTGGTAAAAAAGTCTCCATCTTTCTTACAAGATTCCTTTCTATATTGAAAGGTCACAATGAGATCTCCCCAGAGCCTTGCCCTCTTCAGGCGGAACAACTCCAATCCCCTCAGTGTTTCTTCACAGGAGAGGTGTTCCAGCCTTCTGACCATTTCCATGGCCTTCCTCAGGACCCAGGTTAGCAGGCCCATGTTTTTCTCGCACTGGGGCACCAGAGCTGCCAAAGACAGCAGGGACACACCACAGGGCACTGCTGGCACGGGGCTGAACATGGGTTTGCTGCAGCAGATCTCAGTTCTCTCTAAGCACCTACCACTGCCTGACCATTTGCTCCGTGCTAATGTTTACCTGCACCGCTCGCATTACTGGATTTCTGCACAGGAGGTGGCGTGACGTGGTTGGCAATGGCTGTGGAAGAGGGGGGAGGAATAGGAGGGGCTGCAATTTTGCCTCCTGGTGGGGGTGGCAGCAGGCTTAGGCCACCTGATCCAGACGCACGGGGCTTGGCTGCTCCTCCTTTCTTTGTCGTCATGTTCTGTATAAAAAGAAAGGACATGTAAGAAGAGTCTCCACTGGCATACCCAGAGAAAGAAGCAGGGTAAACCGGTCTGCTTACCCCAATGTTTAGTTTGATAGTCTGCCCTTCCTTAAATCCTAAATCTAATTTGGGACGTGTGTCAGCTTCCTGGGACTCTTTGGAGATCTCGGTCTCCTGCTTCACCCACCTAAAAAGAAGAGAGGAGGACATGAGACCCTGTGGCAAAAGGGAGCAGGGTTTCAAAAAAGATGTGTAGTTTCTCTCCCCATCCCACCAAACTACCTTGCCTTGTCAAACCTGCTACCTCCCTACTCCCAGTGTAGTGCAGCAAAAAGTTGTGACCACCACAAACCCAAAAGACTGTCTAACACTGCACCTGGAGCATCACAGGACCTAAGCTGACGACTTACAGATCTGACCCCGCAGGGCTCTCAGCCTGCTACAACAGCTGGCAGCACACTCAAGTGTTCCTGGCCAGAGCAGGGCTTCAGGACCATCCCAGGGAAGCCTATGCTGAATGACCATGCACCACCACCCGCCACGTTCTACAGGCCGGAGGAAAAACAGCATTCCAGAGAAGCACAACTCACTTGAAGTGATCCTGCAAAGAGACGTTGAAGTCAAAGGCATCACCACGATCCGTGAAGCCAATGCCTATAAAAGCACTTCGTCCTAGCAAGGAGATAGGAGGAGTCATTGGAGGTGCTCTGCAAATGGGCCCTCGTGTTCATTCGCTCCAAAGTCCTTCTGCTTCTCCTAAACCACTTTGTGCTACCTCCCTCCAACACAGCTGCAGCTGAACACCAGGAGCTCACTGTTCCAAGCCTTCAGGATACACCCTTCTTCCCACGGGGCACACTCAGAAACCAAATGTTCCTTCCCAGCCCCTGGGCTCTGTACAGCGTGGAGAACCTCCTCTGTTTACCTCAGCTTCTGATCCCTCCAGGCACGCTACCCGGCCTTGCCAGCACTCCCAACACAGTTCCAATCCACCTGGCACACACCCAGCTCCACCAGGCT